CTATTAACTTACTGGGACGCTGCGAAACCTCACAAAAACTTGTTATACATAGAATGTAAAAAACTCCTCAACGAGCTAGCTTCCAAGTCTACTGTCTTCATTGTGGAATGCCAAGTCACAAAGTAACTGTACATCAGACGAAGAAAGGTATCACCCTGTGGTATGTCAACTTTTCCTACAATGCGAACACACCACTGTATCTACCTGCAAAACATGGCTTAAAACACACTTCTTCGAAAGGGCAAATAAAAGATGATCGGAAGAACTCCGTCTGAGACAACGCGACAAATCTGGCGAAGATTTGACAAGAAAAGAGCTGATGCACTCATTCGGTTAGCGCGCTCTTTATTTAGGCTAATTAACGAAATTGTAGCGGGTCACTTTTTGATTGGAAGGTATTCTGATATAACGGGCTTGCCGGCGAATGACTTCTACCGAAACAGCCGCGATGAGGAAGAAATTGAAAGTGTTGCCTATCTATCATGGGCAAGAAGACGCTCATTTCACGATAACCTCTTTGTCGGTCAGCCGGACCTAAGCGAGGCAAGCATTCATGAATTATTCTGCTGTGTTAACCTAACGAACTGGTTCTACTTCTTGGTGAACAGACGGGATCGAATAAGAGATACCAAAATGAGCCAACTGGGTCTAAGTGTGTATCTCTCCGGAATTGGAAACAGGCAACCTAAACTAACCTATCCGACTATTCGGATTTTTAATCAGGTATTCGAATATCCGGATTATCGGGATATTTATAAAATCCGGATAAATCTCCCAGCCCTATTTTATTGTCATTCCATTTTTAATTATTGCGTTGAGCGTGACTGCCGGCGAACCGTAACTTCTTCTTCTTTATACTAATTGGCACTACATCCATTTGTCGGTTAGGACCGAGACTAAAAAACTTCTCAAGTTTTTAATCCCAAATGCAAGCACGACAATTCTGCACTTGCCCATTCCATTGTTTTTATGGACGCCCTTGCTTTCTTTGTCCATCAATGGGTGTTAAGTCAAAAGATTTTTGCACCGGAGGGGAATCCCTAGAGAACTTTCGTTCTCAAATCTACATGTCTACTAAAAGGGCAGATTAAGATAGAATCCGATTTCAACCGATTTTATATATACATATATATATATTTTTTATGAAAGCTAGTATAATTTTTAAGAGATTCGCCGTTCCTGATTTTGGCAGAGTATGTATTAATTTTTAGAAAATCGATTCCGCTGTTCCTGTAAATAAAATTTTATAATAAAAACTATTTTAGAGCAATAATAGGGTTCCCCAAAATGAAGAAAATTTTCAAAATTTAAATTTTAACGTTATAAAAAATACCAATATTTCAATTTTTTCAGAATTTGTAGAGAAAAGTGCAAAAAATTAAATGTTTAAAAAAAATTCGCCAAAATTTTATTTTTTTTTTCAAAATTTTTGCAGTTTTATAGCGCATTAAATTTTAGTGTAATAAAGTGCAAGTTTTAAGTGGCTAAGAATACGCGTTGATTTTATGCATATTTTTTTTGGGCAAAAAAAAAATTCCAAAAATCAGCGGCACCTTCAAACTTGCACTTTATTACTTAAATTGAATGGGCTACATTTTTAAACCGACTTGACAAACAGGAGAAGGTTATCAATTCGTCGGAATAATTTTATTTTATTTTTTATGTACATATGTTACCGCATAACTTTGAACCACGTTAATCGATTTGGATAATTATTTTTTCTTCGGAAAGGCGGTACCTTAACGGTGGTTCCATATTAATTTTGTTTAGATCCGATAATTGAATCGTGAAGAAATTAACGATAGTCTTAAATTTTTAAATGAGAATTAAAGTCGGTTTTGTTTTTTGCTTAAAAATTACTTGTTTTTATTATTTGTGCTAACTGAAGATTCGAGAGCTGAAATTTTGCCACAATTTTTTTTTTTGTTTGTGACCTGCAACGAAATTTTCATATGGGACAGAAAAAATAGTCGTTTTATTTGACACAGTCTAATATACCTATATTAAACCTCATCCAACCCAACTTCTAATCCGATTTTTTTGTAAAAATTCTAAATATGCAGTTTTATAGCCCATTCGTTTTTAGTAAAATAAAGTGCAAGCCTGAAGTTGGTACAAAATCGCGTTGATATTTGAAATTTTTTTTACTAACGGTTATATTATTTTCTTCCATACCAAACAAAATTGTCGAACACGCTTTGTATGGCAGAAACTGCGTGAAAAAAAAATTGCAAAAAATAAACGCGACTTAGCAACTTCAAACTTGCACTTTCTTATACTAAAAACGAATGGGCTGCATCTGAGTAGAAGTTGCAGATTGGTTCTTTTACGATAACTAAACATTTGAAATATGTATCTGCAACGCTGATTAAGTTCTGGCTTCTTCAGAAATAAACAATAGCTCTATATCGAGCCCTAACCGCCAAAATAACGTGAGCGACATTTTTTTCAAAATTTTATTTTTGATGCAGAAATGTATCTAGATGCTCTAGGAATATTTCTGCATCAAAAAGAAAATTTTGAAAAAAATGTCGCTTACGTTATTTTGGCGGTTAGGGCTCGATATAATTCTTTCAGCCGAGGATACTTCTTTAAACAAAGATTGAATTTCATATAGATTTTTAGGAACTAAAAATATCAGTTTGTTGGCAAGAATTAATAAAAAATTATCAAGGCATGTATACATACCTACATATGTTTGTGTGCAACTTTTTCATACAAAAAACACTACAAACCCACTTATTTATTACATATACAACAGAACATTAACGGAAAATTTCCACAAAAATTACACCGATTAATCAGCATTGCTATTGAAATTAAAAATAGCAAACTAAACGTTATTTACTCCAATTAAAATGCCTACGCTTTTTGTTATGTCTACTCATATACATATGTATGTAGGTGCAGCAGACAGATTGTCAGTAAGGCAGGCAGGCAGTTATGCAAGTCAGTCAAGCAGCCGACAAAAGAGGATCGCTAGCGAGCTGATAATAATAAGAAGCCTATGTAAGTTTCTACGTATATACATACATATGTATGTATGCATGTTTGTAGTGTGTGCGTTTGCGTGCGTTGTGTTCTAGAGTAGGCCAACATTGAATCATTTGTATGAAATTAGTATGCATGAGCTTGTGAGCTGGTAGGTACGAGCGAGTTGAGTAGACACATGAAGTAATTGCTTGCTCCATTTATTTATTTATCGCAAATTTATACACAGTTAACAGCCTAACTGAGTGGATGATTGCAAATTATCAAAAGCAAAAAAAATACAAAAAAAAAATACAAAAAAAAAACGAAATTGGAACGAATAAAATGTTGCGCGACTTTTTTACTATTTTTATTTATATTTATTTATTTTTTGTGTGTTGCTATGACTATTAGCAATTTTTGTGTGTTGAATACGTTTATATGTACTAACTTCCTACATTTCAATGTCAGTTCAATGTTTTACATTCGCAAAACTTTCGAATAAACCTGAAGGAGCGAGCGCCGCACAAATAAAATGGCTGTCAACGGGGCGTTTGTTGTCTGACAATGGTTTTCAGAAGGCAGAGAATGTCAAATGTGACACACCTAGTGGCGCGAGAGCGGTAAATATGGAAGTGTGTGTTTGCGAGATATGTATCTAGTACATGATTCAATTATTAAAGGTTTTGTAAGTAGCTTTTTTCTAAAATTTGGCACTCCCACCCACAGGGATGGTTTATGGAAGCAGGAGAAAAAGGGGAAGAATTCAATCACACTTCCTAAAATGGGAGCTAAATTCCATAAAAAGGTGTGGATAATAGTGAATGGTGGTATTTTAAAACAAAAGCGAATTTGATTTAATTATTTAATTTAAACAAGCTTATTTACATCGAATATAACCCCCGATTTTATTGAAAATAAATATTTCTATGTATATACCAAACTTGCGTACGTCAGATGGCGCATAACTCGAGAATGGATGGAGGATGGTCCACTTTCAGCTTTTTTTTTGTTGTATTTGTTTGCCAGATGATGGATATGAAGAAGCTATTTGTTTGTGGAAAATATGCAGTATTTATTAAACAAAAAAAAACGGCAAATATAAAAATTTGGAGCTTACGTTTCCTTCGCGGATATGGCTCGATTGTTTCGAATATGGTAATTCGAATTCTTTGATGTCGCACTTTTAATATTCTGGGGAGACTATACAACTGTCAGAATATTAACCATTCGCCGGGTTGCCCGAAAAAAAATTTAATGATTAAAAATATCAAAATATATAAAAATATTCGCCATAAAAAGGCGTTTGCATTGTTCAACTTTGCATTCTACTTTCAACTAATCGCTTTCAACAAAGTTGGTCGCCAGCCAACATTCGCCTCGTGCGTAAACCTTTTAAGTGTGCAATTACATACATCGTGCCATTGACTAAACCGAACTGTCGTGTGACGATTGGGCCTATGGATGCGGTTTGGC